CCATGGTCTGCTTGATAAATATGACTGGAAAAGATAACATGACTCTCACCGGGTAATGAGACAAGAAATGTTAAGGGAGCCCTGGAAGAGACATGTAATGGAGCATTGTTTGTGGGATGAGAGAACACACACAGGTAATGAAGCATTGGAGGAGGCTGAGCCTGGTTGAGTCTGATAACATTCCACTGTGCCTGATGGAGGACAATGGGCCATTGAAATGGAACCACATAGTCTGTGCACCAAACTCTGCACCCCCACCCCTCCCCCAACATACTGTCCTCATTGCAGTGCATCTCTGCTTCTTGATCAATATTGATCAGCAGCAGCATCAAGCCTGATGGATCCCATCAACTAGTTTAATTAAAAGACATATTTTCACAAGAGGAGGGCTGGGGGGACTCAGTGGTTGCATATGACTGCCTTCCAGGAAAAATGGAACCTGTGTGGACTGGTTATGTTAGCTCAGAAATGTCCCCATGACAGCGGTGCTTAGATGGCTGAATGAGTTCTTTTCCTTTTTTGTTATCCTCCGACAGTTTTTGTTTGCCAGAAAATTAGCACACTGTCACCAAAACATTTACCACAGTGCCTGCAATTTACTGGTGTTCAAGAGGTGTATCTGATGCATGTAGTTAATTATTTAGTGAGTGGGTTAGTCAATGCAGAATGCTACAGTAAAACTCCCCTTGGGCTTTTCCATTCAACATCCTGCTCTTTTGTTTGTGTTGCAAGTCAGGTCACACTTACATTCTGCTTTGTGTGTGTGAATGCTACAGGATCTAAATTAAGTTTCTATAGTTTTATCTGGGTGAGCAGAAGCAGACACTGATGGCACTTCACTATAAACTGTAGACTAGATGGAGTTTAGAAATTATTATGTGGTTTGTTGTTTGGAATGTCTGTTTTGTTTGCAGGAATAATGAAGTGTTATTGATATGGCTCAGGCAGTAGAGAAATCTGAGTACTGGAAATGGATTCTAAGAGTCAATTAACCTCAGACAGATAGGGGTCGCAGTGCACTCGCTTCCAGACTCCAGTCTTGAATTTGGGATCTCATGCAAAGGAAGCCTGAGGAAGAATGTCAGCCTTCTCTTATGAAAAAGCTAGCTTCCATTTCCCTGAATTAATTTCAATCATAAGCAAGCCATTTTCAAATTTAAAACATATCTTGGATGTGGTTAAGAGTTAAGAATAAAAAGTGCAATGTCAAAAGACGACACACGTGAGACTATTTGTACTGCATAGTTTTACAATGATTCTTCTCTTTATGAAACAGAATGTTTCATGTACAAATATAGTCAGTCACAAACTGCAAAGGAAGCATCTTTGTGTCATAGAATTTATTCTGTTTCTCAGCTCTCTTCTGTTCCTAATGAGACATGTATAGTAGGTAGACACTGTCACTCTTCAGGCCCGTACATGTCTGTCAAAATCGGGGGCTGCCT